TATACATAATTTTTTCCAAAAGGAGAATAGATAACATCTGCTGCAGCCATTGGTTTATGCTCGGTCTGTGAGTCTTTTTCCAAAATATAGATATAAATTTCTTCGCAATAAGCAAACTTAAGTTTATAAACACTCGTTCATTTTTTGTGTAAATATGTTTTTCAGGGAATAATCCAAACACAAACAACCTTGGCTCAAAAATTATCTGTTTAAAAACTATGTTCTCTATAGCACCTTGTGCTTCTTTCCAAAACTGTATAATTTCTCTGCAATACCACATACAGTGAACCAAAGTCCCTCTATCCCCTGTGCATTTTGGACATAGATCAGGTATGTCCCTATCATACCTATTGAGGTCTACTGGTGTTATGTAAATCCGCATTAGCCATTTATATTGAATCATTTTTAGAGATGTGTTAATAGAGCTGGTGTGGGCTGTTGATTCTTCACGTAAAATTACAATTTTATATCGTTATGTTTGAATCCTGAAATGTGGCAAAAGGTAGAAAAGTTTAAGTGGGTAAAATGCTCATGATCATATGTTTAGATTTACCAACTTCGTTGGTACTCGCCAATATTAATACCACCATTCTAGTGCAGTGTTGGGGCCCTGTCCGGTACTGGTATCGGTGCAACACCATTGAATACATTTTAAAAAAATGTCCCAAATTGTGTACTTCAAATTTATAAAGCTTTTCTGCTCTATTCATTTACGAATTAATTAATAAATCCCATTCGTAAACATTATTTTATGATTTTTTTTTTTTTTTTTTTAATCAAAATCATATCGAAAAAGTACTCCAGAGTGTTGTTCAGCATGGGGGTGAGTAGAAAATGAAGGCTAATCATGTTTTGGGTGTACTATTCCTTTAATGTTATAGTAAAAAATGTTTTTTTTTTTTTTTAATCAAAATCATATCGAAAATCCCGATATATATATCACCAAAACAAATTTTTCCCACACCCCTACTTCCTACTCACAGAAAAACCTTTGATTTTATGTTCATGAAGGAGTGGATAAAGTTCTAAAGCATCTTTAGTTTAATATTGTAGTCCAACCTATTCTTTGCCTGCCTTTCATTTCAATGAATGTACTTTTCTATGCAGTCTCTTCTAATTTCATGTTCATCTACAGCAATTTAAATTATCTTCTTATTGAAATGTGCTATGAAAATGAATGTATGCACAGTAGCACAAAAATTAGAAGAACTAATAAATAAGCTTTGTGGAAAACTCATAGAGAGGATTTGTAGGAGGGGAATGTAAAACATGTGTTTTATGTGACACTACACATAATATAATAATATATTTGTGATATAAATTTCACTAAGGTCAGCACCCTGGGCTAAGAAACAGGTATTAAAAATGGAAGCATGCATGGATTTACAATCAGCCATTTAAACGTTTTTTAAGGTGTTGGCAAATTTTGTCTGTGAAGGTGTTTCTGTGACACACAATTATCATCCTGTAGGTGGCGCTGTAGATAAAGCACAGGGGTTTAACTCTGACAGCTTGAATGTCTTTATAACAAAGCTATGAAAATTTTGAAATGTTATTTACAATCAGCTTTAACGTGTTGTTTGATGTGGTACAATAGTATAATAGCAGGGGATCATGAAGCTAAAGCATGTAAAGCACCAAGCCTGGAATATTTCTATGTAAGCAGACATTTCCATGGCAACCAGTGAGAACTTAAGATGTGAGGAAATCTTCTTGAGTAATGGGATAAAGTTAGAGAGCTGTGGGAGGAAAATCATTAGATGAGTAGCTGTTCCCTCAACGTGCAGCTTCCTTCCAAATTAATCCAATGTTACGTCCCCTGGCTGAGTCTAGGGGGGTGTAAGGGACCAACATAAATGTAGACAGTGAATGAAGGAGTCCAAAGGGCATTTAAAGGTTTTATTCTGCCATTTCTTGTAAATAAATTATGGTAAAAGCTTCAGGGAGAGCCAAGGCCAAAATCACAAACAAAACAACCCTAAAGAAAAAAGAGAAGTGGACTTACCTAACTCAATATGAAACCAAAATATACAAACCTACAAAATAACCTACCTAACCACCACATAAACAGGAGAAAACTGGGGTTAAACAAATAGGCAGCTCTCCCCTACAAAAAACATCCAAGCAGGTTTACTTAACAGCGCATTAGATCCAACAAGGAACACAGAGGTGTATGGCAGACAAATGGCCCAGAGGCCCTGAAGTACTGCTTCACAGGCCTTAAATAGTCTTCAGGTGATCTTGATTGGACAGACTCAGGAAGCAGCAGCCAGTCTTAAAGGCGGAGCCTGAAACAGAGCAAGGTGTTTATTGGATGCAAAAACAAAGCCATCCAAGTTGGGGATGTAACACCAATAATGAAGTTTAACGCTGTTCTCACACACAGGTGTTTGGACATGAGACAAGGAGGCACCGGTGGGTCTTTGCAAACTTTTCTACCAGTGATGTATTACTCATTTAAGTGTAAGTGGGGTGACAGTGGCGTGGCATGCAACCGGGGGTTGTTGGTTCCGACTATGGCTTTCAGTGTCGTGTCCTTGGGCAAGTAACTTGACCTGCATTGGCAACTGATGGTGGTCGGAGGGATTGGTGAAGCCAGTGAGCCCCAGCAGCTGTGGCTACAATGTAGCTTGCCACCATCAGTGTGTGAGTGAATGGGTGATTGAGAGAATGTAGTGAACAGCGTTTTGGTCAAGTCCTCTGACTTGAAAAAGCGCTATATTAGTACAGGTCATTTACCAAGTCTTTAGGATAAACGTCACCTAAACAATTATTTTAAATCAGGACGCCGATTGCTGGAGGATTGATTACAAACCAAGCTCAGACTACTCTACTACCTCCTGACCAATAGCAGAGGTCGATTCATTGGTTCTCAGCCAATAGGAGGAATCAATGCGATGTCAGGTAGCGAGGAATCCGTAGAGGTCTGGAAAATGGCCGCCGCTACGTCACTGGACTCGAGTGATGAGTCGTAAAAATTAAAACATGAGTTTAATCAGGAATTCTCTTTCAGGTTTCTTTAAGTTATTTAAAATTGATCTTTAAACAGAACCCAATGGGGAAGTTATTTAAGT